AAATATTATTGATTAAGAAAAATCAATACCACTAAAATCTTCGAATACTATTTTAATAGATATTCCTTACTAAGCTAAAAAAAAACAAATAATTCATATCGATATTAGATATTAGATGTGAAATTAGAATACTTAAGAACATTGTGTTATCTGACTAATTAGATTTATTTAGTTAAAAACTAATTTAAAAACTTGTATCTTTTGTTCTAAATCAATAATAATAATAAATATTACTATTAGAAACCTGGACGGTGATAGCAAAAATAGTTAGCAAAAATAGCTAGTAAAATTAGTGTATTTAACAAAATAGCTTATTATAAATTTATATTTATTGAGTATAAATTTTAATATAATTATATTTTTCTTTTGCGAGTTCTTTATCTATCATTTCAATGAGTTCTCTAATTATCATCTAAAATATATATATAATTACTTATTTACGTAAATCAGTTCAAGAACAAATGTAAAATCATATACTTAGAGCAAAAATAGCAAATTTCACAAGACAATTGTTGCTAGCTATTTTGCTAAAAAATAGTATGCTACAAAAATCTGAGTTCTTCAAAATAAAGGTAATAATCATATGTTTAGTGCAAAAGTAGCAAATTTCACATCTTAATACAAGACAATTGTTGCTACGTAGCTATTTTTCTAAAAAAAATAGTGCTATTTTAGATCCAAAAATTTTGACTGATATATACTAATATAGTAATTATAAATTAATGAGTATATAAATAAATAATTATTTTACCATATTGGTATTGGTATATATAAAAAAACAATGATATATATGACTACATAATCAACTAAATTTTACTTGAATTGGCTTTGATTAATTAAAAACAATAGGTTGCATAGTTGAGAAATAAATAGGTATTCTTTGCCCTGTGAATTATGAAGCAAACTATAAGCTATTCATAAAATTTTCTATTAACAATAGTCAGACAATAAAAATTATTTCAAGAGAAACCCCAAATTTTCTACTTGAAAGTACTACAAGAATGGTATTTTTGAATAGTCGTAAAATAAATAAGTATTTTCTGCTTTAACTAAAGGTGTCTAACAAACCTGTGAATTTTGACAATAGTAGTAGTAATCCCAATAGTCAGATAGAACAAACCCAAATATCAAAATTTTAAATAAATTTTATTTATTTATCTATCATTACAGTAAGGAGACCGAATAATTATTATATATAATAGCAGGTTTGTTTACTTTGAATTTGGATTAAAAATTACACAACTTAGTTAAAATATTGTAATTTTTATTTGGGCCTTTGTTCGAGTTCGTTTAATACCTCTGGGAATCAAAAATTAGTGATCATAAAAAAGTCTTTTAACCAAGCATTAAATTGAATACCTAAGAACTACTATCTATATTTAATTATTTATTAAATTAAATAACTAATAACTATTACATATTGACGTATTTTACTAATTATTTTAAAGTGAATACCTTAGAACTTTAATTAGTCACTGATTATATTCTTTTATCAATACCTTCTATATATTTTAGTTAATTCAATTATTGATTGCTAAAAATTAATAATTAGAAATTCTCATCACTAATTAAACATAAATTTTAATGCATTCATATTTATCTTTAGTGAGTTTTTAGTCTACCACAAAGATCCTGATATTGATAGCAAAAATAGCTAGCAAATTTAGCAAAATAGCTTATTATAAATTTATATTTATAAATATAAATTTTAATGTAATTATCTGCGAGTTCTTCATTATTATTTCGGTGAGTTCTTCGATCATCATCTAAAATATGTATATAATTACTCATTTACGTAAATTAGTTCAAGAACAAAGGTAAAATCACATGTTTAGAGCAAAAATAGCAAATTTCACATCTTAGCACAAGACAATTATTGCTAGCTATTTTGCTAAAAAATAGTATGCTACAAAAATTTAAGGCCTCTGGTCTACTGTCTCTCTAAATATACATATTATTTTTATGCGATCAGGTTTTTTCCTCTAATAAACAAATACAATAATAATCTATTTTCTAATAAATCAAGAAAATATTGTTCTAAAATAAAAAATGATACTGTCCTTACTTCTAAGATTAAAATATAAAAAGATAATATATCGCCAATTTTGATTCGAATCAAAGTTCAATTTTTTTTTGAAAAAAAATAATTTTTTTACCTTAGAAATGGTTAAAAGATCTTCTAAACCCCAAAAATCTTCTAAACTCCAAAAATCTTCTAAACCTTAACAATCTTCTAAACCTCAAAACCCTTCTAAACCTTAAAAGTTAAGATATAAAAATAAAGCTAAAAGTAAATATGAAATTGCGAAGAAAAGCAAGAATGAAAGTGATTATGAAAGTGATTATAAAAGTAAAGATAGCAAAGATGAAAAAAGAAGTTAAAAAACATTATAAAGAAAAGAAAGTACAGGGATGAAGGTAGCAACAAAAAGAATAAAAAAAAAATTTTAAGTAAGTTAGGCTATACAAATATAATAAATTGGTTCTCATAATCTAGCAAGTCAAAATTTACAAAACTCTAAAAAAAATTTCAAGTATATTTACTATCCGATAAGTTTTCTATAAAGTTTTATATGTTGATTATACAAAATTAAAAGCTGTGTTGCTGAGTTATCTTTAAAAATTTTATACTATGAGAACCGATGTATGGTTTTAATTCCTTAATAATATAATTATCTATTTTATTATATTACTAATTGATTTATTTATAAAATTCAATATGTAGTGAAAGATCGGCTTTACCAAAACCAAAAGCACACAAAAAAAAGAACATATTAAAGATAATTTAGATAGTTCAACTGTAAGAGAAATAGTTAAACGATGACAAAATAATTTAGAAGATGATGAAGAAATATAGAAAGAAATATTGAAAGAAAAAGAAAAATTAGAAGAGGAGGAAGAAATACCAAAACCAAAAAATACATATGTATTAAAAAAATATTATATGATCTTTTAAAGGCATTACGTGTAAGTCTATAATATGAAAACTAATTTTTAAGAATTTCAGTATATAACTTTAGTTCTCAATATATTAGTTTTTTTTTTTAAAAACTTTTGTCATTGAACGTGTGCTATTGCTAAAAAGCTATTTGGCTAGTGAGGATTACAATGTTAGATACTGTGGTAGTGGCATACCGGTTCATGAATTATCCAGAATAACTATCAAAAATGCTGTGACGTAAGATTAGTTAGTGTTACTTATTCGCTCACTTTCAACTGCATATTGTATTATCATTATTGTAATCCAATACTGCTATAATCTATGTTACAGCATTTTTTGGTAGTTGCCCTGGATGATTCTTTCATGAATCATTGGTAATCAAGTTCTGATAGTTTAGTTTAGTTCTTAGCTTAGTTTTTTTTTTTTCTGATACCAAGTGGTTTTTAATATTGATATATACTAAACTTTTGTAAAAGCTCTGACATTTATTACCTAATATTTATTTACTATAGAGCTCTACTCCCTCCCCCAGATAACATTTTTATTAACCAATTAAATTTTAGTATTATATTGAGGTAAGATTTGGCTTTACCCCCATCCACTAAAATATTACCTAATAAATGTCAGCACCCTAATTAAATATACTAATATGTAAGCAAAATATTAAATTTATTTTAGAGAGAAATCAGTTTAATCACAACAAGATTACAATCTAAATATCACCTAAGGCTTGATAAGACCTTTGAGAATTAAAAAGACTTGGTTAAAAAATCTATACTTTCACAAATTACGAATGCTTTAGACAAAAAAACATTTCTAGTTGTCAACAGTATAATCTATAAGATGCTATATCGATGCCACTGATATCAAAAAGATAGATTTCTTAATAGCAAAAAGTTGCCAGCAAAAGTAGAAAATGATAAAAGAAGAAAATATAAAAATGCTCATAGAGATTCAGTAAGTAAAATATGTTGTTAATCTAACTAGAGATGTTGAACAAACTCAGACAAAGGCCCAAATAAAATTATAATATTTCTACTAATTTGCATAATCCCAAGCATACCAAAAATATGTACAAGGTTGGCTATACAGCTCTCCTGAACTATGAATAAGATTTTAAGATTAATATGATTAGGAAAATTCAAAACAAATATTCATTCTACAAAAAATTGTCTATAGCTCAAAGATCAGCATAAGAAACTATCTTTTTGTATAATTTATTATATAAACTATCTTTTTCTGGATCCTAACCCTGACTCTAACCCTAGCCTTAGCAAATTTTAAAAATTGTCTGCGCTGCCAATCTTGTATATATTTTTGGTATACTAATCCCAAATCCCAAACAAAACTGTTATTATAATAATTTTTTGGTCTCTTTTCTGTAGCAAAAGTTGCATAAATAATCTTTATTTGAAATATTTGAAATTTTAACATTTGAGTTTGATTAGTTTGACTATTAGGATTACTATAGTAACTACTATTGTTGAAATTTATGGGTTTGTTTGACATCTCTAAATCTAACTATTTATATATTAAGACTTGTCTTTAATAATAGAAAAGATGACGAAGAGCAAGAGCGATTGATCATTTAATAGAAGTAAATAAACTAATTAGAAAGATAAAAAAAGAAGATCTAAAGAAACTATAGACTAAAAATTGTTACTATTCTCCAGAAGTTTTAGAAACAGATGAAGAATCAACAACAAGAAAGGTCATAATTTATGACTTAAAGTGGAGATCACAAGCTGTAAATTAAATTCATAATTTTTATACCAGTTAAATCTCTTTATTATCAATTATAAGTATGTATTTTTATATCACGAATTTCGAAGAACAGGACCGAACAATCTATAGACTAGTAAAGTTTTAGTTTGCTTATTTCAGACTATTTTTTTATTAATCTTTTCTATTTATAGTAATTAGTTTGCTTATTTTTGACTTTTTCTTGCAGATCCTTCTATATTTAGTAATTTTTGTAAAACCTTACTCCTCTATATGTATTTTGGGGTTCTCGAAAGTTCATATTTTACATAATATTATATAGACGTATATTGAAAATATGTACAAGGTTAGTTGCGCCCCTCTTCTGAACTATAAATCAAGTATAACATAACACAATCAGTAAGATTTAAAAAAAATATTCATTTTACAAAAAATCACCCATAGCTCAAAAAATGAGCATAAGAAACCACACCTTTTGTGCTCTAACAAAAAGTTTTTGTTATATAATTTATTATATAAACTATCCTCTTTGGATCCTAACCCTAATCCTAGCCTTAGCGAATTTTAAGAATTGTCTGTGCTGCCAACCTTGTACATATTTTTGGTATATATAGATAATAATAAAATTATTTAATTGTTTGATATATATTTATGCAAGTGAAAGTTACTAAAGATCTGTAGAATGCTTGTAAGATATTATATAAATTCATATAAGTTTATGTAGATTCATATAATTTCTTATCTAGTAATTTTATAAAAAAAAGTTAGTAATAATGTACATTTAGAGAGAATAGTTTCATGTATTATTAGTAGTCAGTACTAAGATATATAGTAAAATTATAGATATACACTTATAAAATATGCATATATAGAGATTAACTTAAAGTATTTTATTTTTAAGCTAAAAGAGTTGTTAAGAAATTATGTGGACAAGATTTCCAATAAAACGGCTAAGATCAAACCAGTTTGGATAAGAAGGTATAGAACAGAGTTTGCATCGAGGATAAGTCACCAATAAAATTGCCAAAATGGATATTGGCTAAATATGAAACTAAGATTGATGAAGAGGTGTATGAAGTCAATAGAGAGGTAAATGAGATCGATAAAGAAGAGAATGAAGTCAAAGAGGAAAATGATGTCAATAAAGAGAAGAATAAAGTCAATAAAGAAGAAAATAAGATCGAAACTTTGGAGTGAAATAGCAATAACAATTATTTTACTCATTGACATTACATTAAAGAATAACACAAGTACGGTTAAACCCTCTGTAATCATACTCTATATAGTCACATTTACTTATAATTACACTAATCTTTAAAACTAACTTATATATAAAATATATGAATCATCCAGAGCAACCACCAAAATATAGTGATATAAATCATGGTACAGCCTTAATATATATTATTGGATTATAAAATTTAACTAATTATAACTAATTTTCATCCTAAGTGATATTACCTGGCATTATAAATTTTTATTAAAATCAAATTATTTAGGATTTTAGCATTTATCACCGGTGGCGATACCACCACCTTCTATTTCTTTTATCAAATTTAGAGATAGAATGCAATTTTAGACCAAGGTTAGGGTTAGGTATAAGGGTCCAAATCTTTGTTAGGGTTAGGTTTTTTGAGGTTCTGAGCATTTTTACTTAGTATCTTTGACATGTGTTAGCTAGTAGGTTTTTGAGATATAGTATCCTGGCGATATCACCACTGGCGATAAATAGCAATATCCATTATTTAAAGTTAGGGTAAGAAGGTTTACATATATGGTGCTGGTTTTTTTTTCTACACAAGATTGTGAGCTGATTGGCTTTATACAATCAGGTGATATCTAGAGTGAAAATTAGCAATAGTTAATTTAATTATAATTATTAGAATGAAATATATAAAATTTAACCTCTATACTATTTTTTATAAGTACAAAATTTCTTGAAACAAAGTGTGTAATTATATAAAGGGCTAACTTATATATATTTGATATTATATAGCAAATAATTTATCTAAAATAGAAGCTATTCTAGCATGTTTAGTGATTAGTAATAAATATAGATTAGCGATAGACCCCCAAAATAATTCTTATCTTAATTAGGTCTAAAGCCTGATACCTTACGAGATTACACAATACGCTTCCTGTATTATTCTGAAGAAACCACAAAGACAAAAATATATAAAAAATGGTTATTTAAATTAGTCTAGATACACTAAGTAAAAGTATATTTACTAACCTCCTAGCCTATGTCTAACTCTAACCTTAATATTAATTAAAAATCGAAAAACTAGAAAGTACTAGGCTTTAGACGTCCCCTTTAATTATTTAATACTGATATGGTTATATGTACAATATAAAATTAATGTTAATCTATTATAAAATTATTCTGTTATTAAACAAAAGTATCACAGGTGATTTATATGTTCAAAATCCTGATTATTATTATTATTTTTTTTTTTTGGTATTAAGGTGGCCTCTTGGCCGGCTCCTTTTATTCGGTTATAGTTAACTTTACAATATGCGTT